ACGTACCAAAGCCACTTATTGGATTTATGAGGGATTGTTGCTTTGCAATACAAGTAAGACAGTCAGGCATACCAATAATAAGACTTGACGACTATAACTTAGCCACGGACGACAGTGAGGAATAAAGGATGAACGTTTATTTTTAAAGCTTATAAATGAGTTCTTCATCAAGCTCTCGTGAACCTTCACCATCTATGAAACAAACTTTACCAAACGATTATGGAGCACCTATTGAATATTTCTTACGAGCTGCACAATGGCAAAGAGCAGTCTCACCAAGGTTAGGTGTTCCACCAGCTCCTGTCAAAAATAGCATTTGGTCAAGTCCTTATATAAAATATGGTCTCCCACTAGGTTTGCTAGCTACAGCAGGAGCAGTAATGATGTTGAAAAGAAATAAAGCAAATGTTATAAATAATACTGAAGTAGCTGAATTTGAACAAACTCCGACACCATCGCCAAAACCAACGTCAAAACCAACGCCTTCACAAACAACACCTTCAATGACTCCTGAACCTATGAAAGTACAAACTCCTGTTCAAAAGTCAACTCCAAAACCGACTCCAACATTTAAACCAGAACCTACTCCTCAAATAAATCGTAAAACTCCTGCGTTTCCTTACTGAAAAAATAATGTTAGTTTTATTTTATTTGAACATTTTATTTAGAGTAAAATGACGACTAAAGTCACTGAAGCAATGAAACAAAAATTTTTGGTAGAATACATTAAATCAGGAGCGGTTCCAGAAGGTTTTTACGTTCATACTATGAAGGATGGTAGAGTTCAGTTTAGAAAGATAAAGCAACCATTAGATAGAGAAGGTATATTAAGGAAGATTAAACTTCATGAGGACAACATTGCTGAACTTAGGAAGAAGTTAGAAGAGTTGGAGAAAGGAAGAGAGTTATAAAGCAATGAATTCATGAGGTGAAAAAAGAGACCCAAAGGGTCAGAGCCGCAAAGCGGCTAGGTGAAAAAAGAGGTGAGATTTCACCACTTCACCTAAATTTATTTTTGCGCTATGTTTTCATACGTGTGGGAGTGGTGATATCATTAATTTTAAGTTTATTTTTTTTATAAATGACAGAACAAAAATATAACATTTCTACTCAGCAGGAATGAGACCCTTACTGACTATGTATTCGTTTAATGCTTGATGAAAACAATGGTACATATTATCGTATGGGTATACACAACGTCTGTTTCCATCGTCGTCGTATATGTAGAGCTCAAATCCAGTCCAACCTTCTTTTGTACAATATGTAGCTTTATTTAAGTATGCATTTATGTAGATAAGGCAATTTTCTTCATCGCTCCAGAAATAATTTTTGTTCTTTGTTGAAATAGTTTTCGTTCCTCTGCGACCATAAGGAATGTATGCAATGAACTTTGCGTCATAAGGGATTGTAATATATTCAGGGTTTCTTTCATCGTCAATGGGTCTGTCTTTGTTAAAATGCATGTTTCTCAGTTTTACTTGAGTTTTGAATAGTTCACGGAAACGTTCTGGGAAAGAGTCATAGTAAATGTAGTCGGACATGTCTTTGTAATGAAATAAAAATTTAAAAAAAATAAAAATAAGGTTATTTTTTATTTAGTGAGGACGGTAGTGAATTCGTTAGTGAGTTCGTTAGTGAAGTCGTTTATGTGTCAGATAGTTTTGTAAATATTTAAGGTTAAGTTGGTGTTTGTGTTTGTGTTGTAAAATATACGTTACTGGTTTCGTAAAGTGTCAAAACCGCTAAGTGGTGTACGGAGGCGCGCAGTGCCGCTGTACACGACTTAGGGATACTAACTGAAAGTGCTGGAACTCGAATCATCTTGAAGCAATTAAAGAAATACAATATCTTGAAAGATGTTAAAGAGATTATTAAAGACCGAGATAACAAAAGTGTCTCTGTCTTTAAAGAATTTGGCGTCTCTCATCTTGAAAGATTCGATCCAGGTCATGTATCAAAAATATCTCAAAAGATTTTACAAAGTTCTCAGCTTCTCATAAGACAGTTGAAGTTTTCAACGACAAGACTCAGAAGATTGAAAAAATAGAGAGACCTTTCTGGGGTCTGAATGCAAGCCTAAGTATGTGGCTTTGGTCATGTTTTGCCGAAGAAAATATTGACAAACGTACGAAAATGTGGGAGAATTGTGTCTACCATTACATAGGCAATCATTCTTTTTGCGAACCGCTCAATTACAAATGCTTTGAATGGCAAAAAGGTGTCAATTCGATCCAACTTCAATTCATGCTCTATGACTGGGTTCACAAATGGACACCCATAGTTTCCAAAGTTTCTTCCATTGGATCTACCTGCATGAATGAAGCGTTTAACTCCAAAATTGCATGCTATTTGGACAAATCAAGAGCCTGGAAGAACATTAACATTAGAGTTAACGTTGCAATCTTAGAATGGAATGATCCAGAGCATTTTCTCGGAGATATACAAAAAGCATTACATCTTTCCCCACTTCCAGAAGATTATGTCAAATCATTTGAAGAGAATTGTTACTCCAAAATGATATTGAAACAAAAAACTGTTACAAAAGGTTCTAAAAAACAGAACAAATACAAAAAATCCATTCAGAGTGTACCAGGAGGAGATTATCAAGTTTTCAAGTCCGAATGGGAATCAGAAGACGAAGACATTGATGACTTTGATTAACGAAAATTACATTTTATTTATTGTTTTTGTTTTTAATTAAATTATTATTATGCTCATTTTCTTATTTTGATTTTTTCTCATTATGATATAAATAATTTATTAATGCATTTATCCAATAATTATGCTATGATATTTTTATGCCTTATTTCATTTCTCTTATATTTGATAATCTGGTAAAATATAGTTCAGACTATAATCATTTTAGATTATTGATATATTTATATAGGTTAGAATAAAATTAGTTTCATTTTCTACTTTTATTTTGAATTAATAATTTATAATATCAAATATTATGGCGTAACCTCTCCTTTAAAATATAGATATATATAGGCCTATAGAGTTTATTGGCACTCTCAAAACTCTAGAATTTTGAGTTTACTATACCCTTAATATGAAAGAGAAAGTTGTTTTGTCACTTTTCACGATCATTTTTTTAATGGAAAATTTTGTTTCGATTTCGGTTCTAAATACACATCAGCTCTTTCATAAACATCGGGAAAAGCAATATTGCTGATAAATGACCAGTAATTGGACTTTTTCTTATTCAGCAACTTTCACTTACGACGTCAGACACAAAGATTACCAAATTTTACATTCATATGGAATTGAAATATATTATAAAATTGATGGAGGTGGTCAAAGTTATCTTTTTTCAAGATCAAATGGTGTTTGGACCATTGGTGAGTTTGAGTTTAAGTTACTTTACGAAAACGTTGAAAGCAGTGACTACATCAACATCATATATGATGTCACAAACAAAGGAACTAGATCTCACTCACTTGGTATTTCATCTTATGCAGGACTTTATATTGATAACCAAGGAACTAGCACTGTCATTAATCCACTTGAAGGAAATCTCGGATTTGAAGGAATCTACAATGATCATTCAGCGAAATTCATCCTTCGAGGAACAGAAAGAGTCACTGATGTTGATACAATTTTTTATTATAGAACTAACAGTGATTATACTCTTGGTAATTTATGGAAAAATCGAAGTAGTTATGATACTAAACCAGTTGGAATTGATTCATGGTTTGCATTTAGTTGGCAAAACAGAAATTTTGAACCAGAAGAAGAGAAAAAGTTTTCATTTTTAATTGGAAGAGGAGAATACATCGACAACTACAAAATAACACTGAAAACACCAGTCAAAGATTTCTATCCTCTTATATCAGCAATTCGAAACGAAGTCAGTGTCAGTTCAGTGAAAGAAGGCGTCAAAGTTGAATTGTTCCGAAGTACAGACGGTGTCAACGAAGAAAAGATTGACTCATTCACTGACAACGGCTCTTCACGCGAGATCATCGACTCTGCTCCAAACATCCCATCTAGTGGCTGGCACACAATCAAATACCATCTGACTTCAGACAAGTTCCCCCCTGTCTACTATTCGTTCAGAGTTTTGTCGACTGATAAACCAGAACTAGAAGTTGAAGGAGATGTCAAAACTGAGTACTTTGCAAACGAAGTTTTCCCTTTGAAGGTAACAATTTATGACGATTCGACTGTTTTTCTGATAACAAGAGAAGATGACACGGTTTTAGAGAACGAAAAAGTCATTTGTAACGGTGAATCTATTACCAAAACTATAAACATAACAATTCCCAATGACCGAGTTGACACTGTCCATGTGTTTAGGATTAGACTGAGGGATGAGTTCAATATCGAGTCTGATGAATTCAGTTTCACGTACAAAGTTGTTGAGGTTCGTCCTGACATTGTCTTATCCAGAGCTCTGAGACTTTATTATAATGTTTTGTCTTCTATTGAAGTATCAGGAAGATTCAGGAATTTCCTTGGTCCGACAGAACTTTGTTTGTTTACTTCTATCAATGGAAGTTCTCCTTCAAATCAAAAGTGTGAAAGTGTTTCAGACAATCAGTTTCACGATTTCCGATTCTACTACAAAATCACATCCTCCATTGATAGTATTAACAATCTTACCATTTATTGCCTTAACTCAGATCAAACGAAATCAAATGTTACCTTTCATGAATTTGGAATTATTTCTCAACCAATTCTTCAAAGAATGCATTCATGTGTGAATTCACAAGAACTGGAATGGTACGTTCTTTTCGTGCCATTAATTGATTTCTCATAGTGTTATCATAAAAAAATTATGTTATGGAATATTTATCTAAATGTTTATTAATAAAAAATGAGATGTTATGAAATTTTGGAGTTGAATATTTTGTCATTCGGAGAGACTTGGGCAACTCATGTCTCCAAGAGTGATACAAAGATTATTCAAACATATTATATTTTAAGTTTATGATAGATTTTTGTTTATATATTTTAATCTAAACAAGAAAAGAAACATATTAATATTACAAAACAAATCACATAAATTGCTTTAAATAGTCATCTTGACCAGCAGAAGAAAGTTTTTCAGGGGACATAAACTTCTTTCTCGACGTTGTTGAGAAGATATGTCCATTCTTTGCCAATTCAGATAAGAAACTATTATAATCTTGCACTTTAATTTCATCTGATTCATGAATTTCTTTTTCTGCTTCTTCAATTACTTCCTTTTCTACAGCTTCCACTTTCTCTATGCTATCCCATGCAGGGGGGATGAAATAATTAGTTCTTTCGCATACTTTGTCCCAATAAAATTCTGAAATTTGTTCTCTCAAAGACAAATAAATGAACAACTCAAGCGCAATCTTAGATTTTGATAGTGTAATTGATGCACCATAAGGAATGGCTGCTTCTCTGAGATAGTTCATGTAGCCATCGAACTTCGGATCTGATAAATCTTCAAGAGATTCGTCGAATGTCCCAACAAAAACAGTAGGAACATATGTATTTATCTTCATAGTGCTTTGGGAATGGTTAATAGGATCTTTCGAACATATTGTAGAATAGTATTTTTCAAGATCTTTTTGTCTTGTCGTATTTTCGAAAAATTGATTCAGTGAAGTATAAAGTGGAGCAATTATATTAGTAACATCTGTTGAAATAGTAGTCGGATGATTGATATCGAATGTAAAAATAATGCATGATTTGTCGATATTCTCTTTAATTAAATCAAATAATAAATTATTATAGGCTGTATCATTAAATTCGTATATGTGTATTAGATATTTGTTATCATGAACAAAGTCGGTGTATTCATAGCCAAATGTCGATCGAGATTGTAATTCTTTAACTTCTGGTGAAAAATTTGCTATTAATGAAGATTTTCCACTACCATGACGTCCAATTAGGAAAAAGTAACAGTCTGTCAGTTCTGGTAGCGCTCCGCGGGCAAGATCTAAAAGTTTTGTAAGCGAATCATTCATTTTATTGGAATAAAAGTGACAAATAAAAAATATTAATAATTTTTAGGAACCAAGTCTCAGTGCTTCTAGATCATCTATGTAAGAGGAAATTTTATTAAAAATCAATATTTCATATGTAATTATTGCAAATTGGATTATCTATCATGAAGCAATCGTTCTTTAAAGAATACTCACATATACTGTGACTCTGTTTAAACCAAATTGTATATTACTGCTATACAGAATTGACATTACTATGATATTCATAGATTGTATCTTCCAAGTCTCCCGGAGTGACACGCTGTTCAGCATTGATAACTTGAATGCTGAACTTTGATCGGCAATGTGCAATAATACACATGCACGTAGACTGGGAAAAAATTTCGAATGGACTCAAATGTTGAATAAAAAATCAACATGCTCCATTTCTCAAAAAAAGATAAAATTAATATACGTATGTGTATGGTAATATGGTCATGCAAGAGATTGGCTATTTCATTTTTTGATTAAAAAAGTGACAATGCTTGTTGAATTTAGGGTTTTAACAGGAGAACGCTTTCGTTTGAACCTCCTGGCAAATGCTTCAATCAAGCAGATCAAGCAATTTCTTGTCAACAAAAACTATTTACAACCAGGAGTTATCAAAATAATTTTTCGTGCACATTATTTACACGATTTAGTTACTATATCTTCATTAAACATGAAACCATCAGATTTTTTATTATGTCTTAGCCGTCCTGTTAAAGATGTTCCATCAAATTCTCAAGAAAATCAAGAAGCTAATCAACAGAATGCAACCGAAAACCAGCAAGAAGGACAAGATCAACAACAGAATCAAAATCAAAACGATTCTGAGAGCGAAGAATCTCGAAGAACTTTGGCCGATTTAGGTTTTACGCGCGAAGAAGCTTATATTGCATTACGACTATCTCAAGGAGATGTGCAAAGAGCTGCAGAACTTCTTGTCTATCACAGAAATCAAAGAAATGGCAATTCAAACAACATTCCTCCTCCAGATATTCCTCAAACAGTTTTTCAGCTTCCACAGCAGCAAAATCCTCTTAGAAACATAGTAAATGTCGAACAAGCCACAAGTCAAAACAACAGAGACGATGTTGACAGCATCGAAATCAATAGTGATAGTGACTACTATTATTCTGATTACGAAGATGACGAACCCAATTTCCTTGGATCAGGGAAGAATATTCCTATTGTAGAAGAAATAAAGAAGCATCCAGAAAAGCTTGTAACCATAATTCAAACTGTTGACTCAATGGATCATGATTTTGCAACCACGATACGTTCAAATCCAGAAGCCTTCCTCACAAAGATCGGTGCTGATCCAAGAAGGTACCAATGCGAAGAAATCAGATTTATTTCACCCGAATTTAGGTTTTTGCCCTCAGGAATTCGCCGTAGCATGAGAAACATCCTCATGATGAACAAGCAAGGCCTGTTTAACATCGTGGAGATGCTCGCGGAAACAAATCCAGCCGAATTTGAGAATCCTGTCAGAACAAACCCAGAGGGTTTTATAATCGCTCTAGGATTGGATCCGAGCGAATATGATTGCGACAGCATAAGAATTGGGACACAACCAACTTTGCAGGAGATCTCAAAAAATTTGACACAAGAAGAACTTGCTGAGGTCAAGTATTTGAATAACCTTGGTATAGGAATCAACTATATCTTGAATAGACTTCAATATTATAATCACAACGTGAAATTGTTGCATGATGAGTTAACTGCTTTTAAGAAATGATTTGTTAACTGTCAGAACATTTTTGCCATAGGAAAATTTAATATTTCTATCGTAATTTGTGCGAAATTTAATTTTTATTATTTTTGTTTAATATTTTTTTGTTTTTTGATATGTTGGCGCCATAGCTATTGCTAGTACTTCAAAATACTCTATTATAGAATAATTTTTCAATGAAATTAATTTTTCATATCAAAACATGTTCCAAACTAAACAAATACTATAATTTAATTTTTTCTGATTAAACCTTTGGTATTAAATCGAATCTGATTTCTATCTCTTTATTAACAAAATAAACAATTGAATAACTAAGGCATTTATGAAGGAAGCAATAAAAATAGAAAAACTTTTCTTATTTTGATTGAAAATTGACATAAAAATTGATATTTTGACAGACTTAATATTTCACTGAAATTACCCTTAAATTGTGCTAATGATTAAATAATAAGATTTAATAACCGTAACCATAAAAACATCGTTCAAAAAAAAATGATGCTATTTCTTTTCCTAATTTGCTCCAAACTGCGAGAAAGGTTAAAAGATGTTGGACACAAGTTAAAAGATGAAGTTGTGCATAAGGCTGAAGATGTTGGGCATCAGATAAAAGATGAAGCTGAGAGTAAGTTAGAAGATGCTGGGCATAAGTTAGAAGATGCTGGGCATAAGGCTGGAAATCAATTGGCTGATGTTGTTGTAAAGGGATATGAAGCACTTGTAGATAAAGGAAAAGCAGAAACGAAGAGAGTATGGAGAAAGGTAGGGCATCAAGTAGAATCTTGGGCTGAACAAATATGCTTTGTTCTTCGACATTCAACTGAGTCTCAATATGCAAATCCGGCTATGGTATTTGGATATGTCGGTCAATCCGAAACAGAAAAATATATGAATGAAGCAAAAGACGCAGCTTCTTATGATTTTGGCGACACAGTGAATACTAAAGCAAAAGGTGATGAACAAAGTCCTTGTGTTCACCAAGGACAAGCCATAATTGAGGGAGATAACCTTGCGCTATTATCAAGTTATGGACTATATAGAATTGATACTAATACCCATGAATTCCGCACTCAATCAGTGTACAACGATACGGAAATTACCGAAGAAGGACAATTGGCTGTGCTCCATAAATATGAAGTTATTTTCACAGTCCAAACCGATGCAACAAAGAAAGACGGAACAGTAGATGAATACAGAAAACTTACACCAGAAGAGATTGAACAATTGGTTCGCATGTTTGTAGAACATATTAAGAAGGCAATGAAAAGATTAGTGAAGCAAATTTTCTGATTTATTTGATTTTTGAATTTATCCAATAAAGTTTGTATTTAGGGCCAACATTCCATGGATTTTTGTTTTTCTTGTTTGACATTTCTATTTCTTTATCATCAACAGTAAAATACCTATATAAAAACTGGTATAACTTGAATACTGACATTTATTATTGCAAATTTTTACTAATATTAGTTAATAAACATTGAGAATTTAAAAAAAAACAAATAAATTAAAAATATCACTACAAACAATCAAATACAAAAGGTCCAATTACGATCAAAACCATAATTTCCTCAATTCAAATTGTTTTGTTTGAAATATAATCAATAGATGAAGACAACATGAGTTTTGAGAAGTCCAGTGGTTGCGAGAACTTCAATCCATCAACTGAAAGCAGGAATCTAGATAGAGCAACTGCATTCTTTGGAGGATCCATTGCCATAACTGGACAGAACAGAGAGAACACGTCATCGAAGGACATATTAGTATTTCCCTTCCCTCCCAAGTTATTCTTCACAAATTGGTCGATAGATCTGACAGCTTTAAATGTTTGGTAGACAATATCATAAGGATTAGTCAAGAAATGCAAGCTATTGAGTATTCTTGTTGCATCGATGAGATCTGGTGATATAGAAACTATTTCTTCAAACGGTTGATTCATATAAACTGGTAGCATGATATTTTCAACGATTTGTAGCTCTTTTGGTGTCTGTCGCCTTATCACAGCACATTTTTCTACAAACATCTCTGATCCCTCCTCTGAAAACAAAAAGAAATTCTTGACCAAGCTAATTTCGTCAAACATGACTCGAACTATAGCAGAATGCATAACAAGCCTCTCATTTGCATTCTTCGGCTCGAAAAGTAAGTTAAACGATTTATTTACTTGGTCTAATTCTTTCATATTGATTCTGCGTTTAGTTAATGTCTTAATTACATTGGCAACGCATATATCGAACCTCTGTATTGTCTTCGATGCTTCTGTGAAATCAGCAAAAGCTGCGTCAAAACTGTTATAAGGAGAAAAATCAAGGTCTGTATCAACGAATTTGGTAGCTTCGGCAAGGGTCTGCTTCATTAGATTGATGTTGAGTCTTTCTTCGATGCTCTGATCAAGTCTTGCCAAATAATTTAAAATTGAATTTGAATGATGAATGATTTTCTTGACAGTGGGGTGGTTGTCGTACTCCCTCATTACTCGTGCTTTATAGCCTTCAATGTCAAATTCCATAAAACACTCAGAATCAAAGCAACTATTGATATAAACAGTAACATCATTGATGATTCGGGCTTTTTGCTCGTAAAACTCTGATTTAAACTTATTGATTTGTAATTGAAGTTTGTTGATTTTTTTAATCATAAAATTTTGAATTGGTTTGTCGTATCTTGTGGATTTTTTAGTGATAATAGGCTTAGGAATGATCTGCGCATGAACACTTGTGGTTACATACAATTGCGTAAGATCAGAAAGCTTAACAAATAATTGCGGAAATATTTCTTTAAATTTACTGATGTTTTCTGGGGTAGGAATAACTGGTATGAAGAACCTGACAACTTTGGGATCAAATTTGTCTTCAGGAAGTGAATTAATGTGATATTCCATGACTTAACAAAAAAATAACGATAAAAATGAATTCAATTAGTGGGAATTTTTTTTTAGTCCTTGTAAGAAATTTTGTTATTGAATTATCCTCACCTTATCATCTTTCAAGAAATGATCGGATTGAAGAAGAGTAACAATACATAGGCATTCTCTATACAATTCATCAACGAAAGTTCAACAAAATGTAATAAATATTCAGAAAAGTATAAAACTGAAGCTTTCTGACGGCAAACCACAATAACAAATTTCTCATTAATCCCATTTTACTGCATTACAATTGGTTATAAGCAAAATATTAGTTAAATTGTTTTTAAAATAGACTAAATACTTAATTTATACAATATTTAGTATAATATTTTACCTTATTTGGTCATATACACTCATGTTTTAATATAAATGTTGTTAGATTACAAGATCCTAGCGTCGATATTATTAAATGATAATAAATTCTTAAAATTCTCCTTGGATTCATCATATTTTAAGAAATGTAAGCAATTTGTAATGATGCCCGGGCCTTGCTAAATATTCTTTAAAAAAAATCTCAGAAAAATCAAGCAACTAGACTGAATAAACACTCTAAATCTCAATTTTCTTTTACAGGATGCTTAGATGTGAATTACTTTAGACAGAACCTAAAAAATTTTAAGAAGTGCTACCACTCTCAATTTTGAGTTTTTTGCTCAAAATATATGGGAAAATAGTTTTATTATATATCATAGATGCCAAATGTGTCGTTTATTTGGATTTTTTATTTAGCGGTTGTTCTCAAAAAAGAACCTTAAATATTTGACACTCTCACTTTTTCAGCATCCTGATAATATGTTATGAACGAATTTCATAAACAGAAGTCGAAATAATTGAATATGGACACGTTAGATTTCATTGAATTTCTTTGAAGCACCACTATCAATATTTTGTTTGATTATTAACAAATTTTTATTTTTCTATATATTCATCATTATCTTTGAGTTTGTAAGTAAGAATACATGAATATTATTTTGTCAAAGCAATATTTTTTACTTCAAAAATTCTCATTGCAAAAGATTTCCAATATTTTTATCTAATCATTATGACTATCGTATTGTCAATTAGACAATCAACTTCTTACATTCAATAAATACTATAATGCGAGAGTTTAACGTAGTTTTCAAAGATAATTTAAAAAATGATACTGTTATCTTTCACATTAACCATCGTAATATAGATACTAATATCTTTATTCATATTATATGATCTTTACGAAGCTTAATTCATGCTATATTCACTAATTGATCAAAAAATATTTGTTATTCCTTAACAATTGCAAAATATGAAAAGCTTAATAGCTGTATCTATAGTGCTCATTACTGAGCTATATTGAAGCAGTAAATTATAGAAACTTAAGACTGTGCAATCTACTGATTTGTCGTTGACTATTGATAATGTTACTTTTGTTAGATAAAAATTATATAAATATATTAGTGTTTAATTATAAATATCGGACATTTTGACTTCGGTTTCTCTGAGTTTATATTCGAGTTTCATTTCAACATCTGCCAAATCTAAAAATGGTTGATAGTCTGTAGATAAGGAATCCCATTTTCCGTGTTTAACTGCATACAAAATATTTTCGAAGTGGTTAAAGAAAGGATTATAACTGATCTGGATATCCTGGGCCTCCCAGAAACCTAGCGATGACTGTTTGTAGTAAATCATAAATAGATTTAGTGAAACAGTTGAGATGACTGACCATTCATTGACATTTGGAGCAGCAATGATTACTCCTGTCTTCTCATGCATGAATACAAAATTTGCTGTTCCGGAGCCAGCTGTAGTAACTAAAACTAATGACGTAGAAATTTCTTTTGCAAAAACAGACAATCTCTTCTCCATGCAATCGATTTCTTTCCATACATACTTTGGGTATTTCTTCATTCCTAATTTTATGATTTCATTGATATTCGTCAGCACTCTCGGATAATTGATTCTGTTTAGAAAATTTATCCTTGTTGGTTTGATTTTATTTAGTTTTAATTTTTGTTTTAAAATTTTGGATAATAATGGAACAGAATATACTAGTTTGCCAAGAAATGGAACAAAATTCTTCACATAATATAAGTCATTGCAGAAGACATATCCATTTTCTTCATAAATTAAGTCACTTGAATTAAATCCAAAAAGTGACAAAAATTCTTTACTTTTTTCTTCATTGAAAGTTGTTAAAACTTTGGCTCCGTTCAGTAGTTCTTTTGGTACGATAACTAGTGATGCCAAGAAATCGTAAATGAAGTGTCCGTATATTGTCTGGCAGTTGTTATTAAAGCATAAAATTTTGTCACATGTTTTTGTAATATTTTTTACAATTTTTTGGTCTCCGAGTTTTTCTTTGTTTCTGAATGTTAGGAAATGCCCTTCTGCTAGGATTTCTGCGGTAGAAGAGACACAGCAATTCTTAATATGGACAATCGTGTCGATTTCACTGAATGTGGAAACAGCATAAAAAGTGACTCCTTTTGACAAATCAAGATTTGAGCGCAATTGGTTAGTTATATTTGAAGAAGACTTGAAGTTAACGATTTGATGTTCACTAATGAAACTGAGAGCTAAGTCATCATAGAAGATTTGGTCAAATACATTTTGAAAATCATAAATTAACTCAAAACAAGAAGGAACTGTATTTGATCTTATGTAAAACACCAGAAAATTAATGATTGTGAAGATTAAAAAGAAAGTTGTATGTCTAATTAATGTCTTAGGTGTGGTTTTAATTCCAACTATCTCGAATTACAAAAAAGTGACAAAAATTTCTAGACTGAAATAAATTTACGAAATCTCTTTATTCATGGGAAAAAAATTTTTATGAAAAACTTAGTTAATGTTAGTATAATAAAAACAGGCAAAGCGATGCCTGCTTTGTAATTTTATTTTTTAACATTTATCAAAATATATAATACAGAATATCCATTAAAAGAAAAATATGATTTGTAACAAGTTTGATGATTGATTAAGAAAATTCTAGATACGACACCAAATTCATGAAAGATAACATTTGATTTCGTTTGATCTGAGTTAAGGCAATAAATGGTAAGATTGTTAATACTATCAATGGAGGATGTGATTTTGTAGTAGAATCGGAAATCGTGAAACTGATTGTCTGAAACACTTTCACACTTTTGATTTGAAGGAGAACTTCCATTGATAGAAGTAAACAAACAAAGTTCTGTCGGACCAAGGAAATTCCTGAATCTTCCTGATACTTCAATAGAAGACAAAACATTATAATAAAGTCTCAGAGCTCTGGATAAGACAATGTCAGGGCGAACCTCAACAACTTTGTACGTGAAACTGAATTCATCAGACTCGATATTGAACTCATCCCTCAGTCTAATCCTAAACACATGGACAGTGTCAACTCGGTCATTGGGAATTGTTATGTTTATAGTTTTGGTAATAGATTCACCATTACAAATGACTTTTTCGTTCTCTAAAACCGTGTCATCTTCTCTTGTTATCAGAAAAACAGTCGAATCGTCATAAATTGTTACCTTCAAAGGGAAAACTTCGTTTGCAAAGTACTCAGTTTTGACATCTCCTTCAACTTCTAGTTCTGGTTTATCAGTCGACAAAACTCTGAACGAATAGTAGACAGGGGGGAACTTGTCTGAAGTCAGATGGTATTTGATTGTGTGCCAGCCACTAGATGGGATGTTTGGAGCAGAGTCGATGATCTCGCGTGAAGAGCCGTTGTCAGTGAATGAGTCAATCTTTTCTTCGTTGACACCGTCTGTACTTCGGAACAATTCAACTTTGACGCCTTCTTTCACTGAACTGACACTGACTTCGTTTCGAATTGCTGATATAAGAGGATAGAAATCTTTGACTGGTGTTTTCAGTGTTATTTTGTAGTTGTCGATGTATTCTCCTCTTCCAATCAAAAATGAAAACTTTTTCTCTTCTTGTGGTTCAAAATTTCTGTTTTGCCAACTAAATGCAAACCATGAATCAATTCCAACTGGTTTAGTATCATAACTACTTCGATTTTTCCATAAATTACCAAGAGTAGAATCACTGTTAGTTCTATAATAAAAAATTGTATCAACATCAGTGACTCTTTCTGTTCCTCGAAGGATGAATTTCGCTGAATGATCATTGTAGATTCCTTCAAATCCGAAATTTCCTTCAAGCGGATTAATGACAGTGCTAGTTCCGTGGTTATCAATATAAAGTCCTGCATAAGATGAAATACCAAGTGAGTGAGATCTAGTTCCTTTGTTTGTGACATCATATATGATGTTGATGTAGTCACTGCTTTCAACGTTTTCGTAAAGTAACTTAAACTCAAACTCACCAATGGTCCAAACACCATTTGATCTTGAAAAAAGATAACTTTGACCGCCTCCATCAATTTTATAATATATTTCAATTCCATATGAATGTAAAATTTGGTAATCTTTGTGTCTGACGTCGTAAGTGAAAGTTGCTGAATAAGAAAAAGTCCAATTACTGGTCATTTATCAGCAATATTGCTTTTCCCGATGTTTATGAAAGAGCTGATGCGTATTTAGAACCGAAATCGAAACAAAATTTTCCATTAAAAAAATGATCGTGAAAAGTGACAAAAATACCAAAAAGTATAAATTTAAGTATTTTTAAATCAGAAAGTTAAAACACTCTATTTATCAATATAAAAATACAAAATAAACAATATTTTGGATTAATTTTCTTCAATTGAATCATCTCCATCCTTTTCTATGTTTCTAAGTTTTTCTTGTACCTTAGAAATTATCGTGTACATCTCTGTTTCGTTGTTCAGTAAAGTGAAAATCAAAGCCTCGAAAATAACCCAGTATCTCTGTTCCTCTTCAGTGCAGAGGTCTTTAAATGCCTGGTTATCCATGCAAATCGGTCCAATGGCCAAGTAAATCGATAACAAATTGAAAGATTTTCCCAAAATCACCGCTTTTTCAAGCAAACTCCTTGTTTTCATGATTTCTCTCTCATGTGAGTGCGTTGTAGCAATTTGGTCGATATTTCTTACAACTCTCATTATATTTCTAAACGAAATCTTGAAATCTTCCAAAGAAATCGTCTGCAAAACCTCAACGCACTCCCAGAACAGGCCATTCGCAGACTTTGTGGTGAACTCTATGTATATATCATCCAGAGCCGTGTTCTTCTGCTGCAGGAGGTTGAACCACCAGTCGTTTACTTTGTTTATGTCCTTTTCCAGGCCGCTGATGTACTTAGAGAAGTAACTTTGTGCTAGAACAAGGAACTGCATCTGCCGGAGAAGCCTCTCGTCAAACATGGTCGATGCTTTTCGAAATGCAAAGTTCATGTACTTATATCCCCTTTCGAATGCCATGTTTGCGGCTTTTTCTGCTATTTGCGTGATGGATAGGCGGAGTCCTGCCTCAGATATCTCAATCCATCGGTCTAGCTGCTTGGAACAAAGCCGGAACTCCATCATCCTCTCAAATTTGCGGGATTGAGAGACCTGGTACGATATCGTACGCCTCAAAATGTATTCGCGTACATCATTGCTCACAAAACCTAGTTCCTTCGAGTTGATCAGCTGGTCGTACGGATCATTCGTTTGGGATTCGAGATGGAGGAAGATTCTCTCGTAGTCGCTCGCTCCCTCTGGCATCTTGTATGTTTGGGAGAAAACAATGGGTCTGTTGATCTGGATTTGGGGAATATTTCTACGGTAGAAAATTTTTACCCAGAAGAGATGGAAATTGTTGGTTATGTCTGCTTTGGCGTTGATTATACTCATGGGAATCGATTTTACTTGGGAGTATGCATTCAAAACAGTGACAAAATCGGCGCTGGTGGTCAGAATGAGGATATACTGGTGGCCAAATGATATATAGTTATTGGGGAGCTCTAGGTTTGAGGTATTCGCTTGAACTTTCTCGCAAATTTCGGATTTGATTTTTTCATCGTTAATTATAAGATCAAAAATGGATCTGAGTATTGGGATGCGTAGTTCAAGCGAATTATTCTGAAACCATGTTGCAGAAAACTCATATAGTAATGTGTTGATGAAAAAATTAATAAAATCTGTTTCTCCCCATTGTTGGAGCATCATTTTAAGCAATGTTGTGTGGGATTGTGTAAGTAATGGGAGGGATGAGTCGATGGCCTGTAGTAATATCTGTTGGTAGTATAATAAAATTGAATCAGGTAATTTTCCTTTTTTGAACCTAGTTTCTGAGCGCATTCTCTCTGAAAGTGAGAAAACTGAGCTTTCGTAAAATCTATACATGCATGGAGTTCTGAAAAATGGAAGTAAAATTTCTGTTGCGATTGATTTGTCTTCGATCGAAACGGCATTAACATAGAAGGGGAATGCAAGTTGAATGTGCTCTTTCGAAGAGAAGAAACCGTATATTGATGGAATTGAAGATTGAATTAAAAAATAAAAAGAAGTTGTTCCTTTTAGCTTAAGAACTGCTTGAAATAAGTTTGATGCATCTTGTTGAACCATTTGGTATAGTTGTGCGACTTGTTGTAAAATTTGAGGGGAAATTTTAGGCGGAATTACTTCTTGTGGACGGAAAATGAATGATGGAAGATAATGGAGTTGTGGAATAAGTCCTTCGAATGAGATTTTAGATGTAAGAAAAGGAGAAATGGTAATTATTCGATGAATTCTAACTAATTTTTCCCTTTTTGCTTCAACATTCTCCATAAATTCAACTATAGATTCATTCGATGTTTGAGGAACGTGTTTTTTAAGAAAGTGGTAGAGTTCAAGTTCTTCTTCCATCAAGCGATCAAATGAAAAATGAAAAATTTATAAAATTTTGTTTAAAATATTAAAGTATGCAATACGGAATAAGCAGATCAACACAAAATACAATGAACCTTAGGAAAAGCTGGCTAAAATTATTGGCTTTATTTATATTCATATAATCCAAACATGTTGTGTATAATGTATTTTTCAGATTAAATTCTTTGTAACTTACAAAACAAAAAATATCTGATATCAAAAATGATGAATCTGAGGACATACTGCAAGCAAATAGATAATACAAATACATACAAACTTTATATACAAAGCAATACAAAACAAATATATATATAAACAAATACAAACAAAAATTTATGAAGGTAGTGATGCTGCAATAGCTGCTGCAAACGCTTGGATTGGTGACAATGGGTAACCGCATACAATATTATATGTTGTGTCATCAAATTTTCCAAAAGTCATCACATCTCTTTTGTGGTTAGATTCATGGTAAAGAATAAAGTTATTTGCTCCCGGTAATGATAGTTTTCCGTCAAATGTTGTGTCATAAGTATCTCCAACCTGAGTTGGAAGTCTCATTTTCATTCTTATTGATTCTTTTGCCATTCGCGATACATATTCAACTAGCATTGAATCCTCCCGAATGTCTACGCAGAAAGATTGATATCGGCCGTTGATTTTTTTTAATGCTGGGATGACCAGATCAAAATATTGGAGTTTTGGGTTTGAATTAAGTAGTATAGCGCATATTTCTGCTGGTGGTGATAGTCCCGTCATGCAAACATTCTGATATTTTTTCAAAGCGTTATATCTTAATTCCCCGATCATTTTATCTCCAAAAAACAATTCAATTCTTGCACCTCTATTCCCTCCATATACATGAGCGCTTAATCTCTGTATTTTATCAAGATCCGCTGGAAGAAACAAAGAATATATGATAGAACTGCGTCCATCATCATTAATTTTGAATGTCATATTGATGGTCTGCTTAGGACTGCATGGTAGAAAGTACAAACCTGAAAATGTAAGTTCTTTTCCGTCAGAAAAAGGATCGAAATTTTTATCAATAGTCTCTTGGGATTGTGATTTACCAAGCAACGATTCCTTTGGAGGTGTCAAAATCTCAGTACTTTGGAATTTCTCCCTCGAAAAAGATGAATGAGTTCCTGTATTGAATAATTCTGTTGATTTGTTAAGCATTGATGACTGCTTCCTATTTCTCGGTCTTGCTGCAAGCTTATCTGATGTTTCAGATAAAGAAATTCTATTTACGCTATCTTTTGCATCTTCATACTTATCTTGAGAATTTTGATTGATTAAACTATTAAGTGGTGCACTAGACGAATATCTTTTATCTGGCGAACGAAAGATTTTTGGTGTATTTCGCTTTCCGGGTAATTTTAAATGCAATGGCTTGATCTCTGATGTTGATAATGCAGCATCAAAAAATTCGAAGCTCATTCTAAACTGCGCCTTGTCATCATCGAGATAAGGCGCAGTAGTCCGTGTTTCCATTCAAATCAAATTGAATAATTCTCAAAATTAATACTTAGAGTTATTTTTATATACTATAACAACAAAGCATTTTATTAATAGCAAAAAAATTGTGAAGGTAACCGTTTTTAGAGTTTTATGAATTCAGGCGACAAAGAATCGAGTTTGCATATAACTTTCTAATAAAATAGATACTCTTTGTTGATTATCAGTTGATTCCCTATAATTGGAGTTAGAAAAACAAAAAAATAGCAATCACAAAATTTATCAATATGCCATGTTTGGATAAAAAATATACTTTTCACTATCTATAGCATTTATTATTAATAATCTAAAATAATATGACATTAAAATATTTTTTTGACTTAAAAGTAGTGAGTTGTATATTGGGATTAATAAGAAAAGATATTCTCTTCGAATATATCCATTTCCGCCGGTTGTAACTGGAGATCAACTGACATGAGTTCAGTTATATTATTGGAAACATCTGGTTGAATAAAAAGCTCTTTTGTTTGTTTAATATCTAGTGTAGAATCGCGAAACTCAAGATTCCTAAATCTGTCATAAATGAAGATTTGATTTTCAATGTAAATGCACTTATGAAGAATTTGGTTCTTTGTTTTATTTTTGATATAAGTAATAACAATTGTAGTATCATTTTCATGGTAATAAGTAACATAGGACAAATTGCATTTTTCGATTGAAGCAATATATACCATTATATCATTAACATTAGCATTAGATTTGGACATTTGATGGATATTTTTAATGCCATCTATGAGGGAACTTGTTTCTATTGCTGGATTTCCGAAAACCCGTTTCATATTGTAAAATATTAGAGGATGTTTTATTGTCGTCTGGAAAAAGTGACAAAATTATTATTGTCGTCTAAAAAGGTGACAAATTATTATTGTCGTCTGGAAAAGTGACAAAATTATCATTGTCGTCTAAAAAATAGATTTTTCAAGCATGTTTCGGTACCTAAATAAAGGAAGAACATCAATTCCATCTATGTATATAGTATGCAAACACGCATGATATATGGAGTAGCTCTTTATCTGGCTAAAAATCCTATTATTTGAAAATTCGCATTGTCGTCTAAAACCGCCAGACGACAATAATAATACCCCAAAATATTACATGATGGAACTTTTTCTTTAATACTGGCTTCCACTGCTGCTGAATAGCCAGATTAAGTACAAATTTTATTCGATCCCCTTCCCTTGGTAATTTTCCCGCCAAGCCGTGCTGTGCCAGGAACTGGACAAAATGATATATATTCATATCTGGTACTTTTGATAAATAGTCTTGTCTATATTTTTCAAAATCCTTTCGTAAATTTACAAATCCTTCAACGCATCTTTTTAAACTTTCAGCATCTCCTTTATTGTAATTGATTAAAGTTTCCCTAAGAAATTCTTGAATCTCGATCTTGGAATGGCAAGTCATTACAGTATATACATGGCACGATGGGCGCTACTTTTTTGGCGCCAGCGGCGCCGCCCGCGCCTCCGGTGGCTCCCACTGGTGGGGAGGAGACGATAGAAAAAGATATAAATTTTACTAAAAAAATTGAATTTTGGAAATTCTTTTGATTTTTTTGAATGATTTACGAAGAGATTGAACACATTTTGTACTATGAAATATCGTTATTAATAAATTTACTTCTTAAACACATATTAAAATCGCAATTTTGAATATTTTTATGATTTTTTTTGACCCGATCACTTGCGCCCGCGCCCACTGGGAGGGGTGCTTGTAAAGTATTCAAAAATCAATGTAAACATTTCAATTTTTGCTCCCACCTCCCATTGGGAGGGGGGCATATATCTTGTAGCGTTCAAGTTCAAGTGATGAAAATGCATAAGAAAGCTCCTTAATCATACCGATAGAAACAGCATTAGGGGCGCCAAATGGCGCTCGGTGAGGTTTCTCATAAAAGCTTAATTTCAGGTATCCATAATCATAACCTGTCAGACGCAATAATTCATTAGCACACAATCATCGTTTCTCAATCAAGAAACGAAACGCACGATTGATTATGCTGGCCATTAAATTTTCATATCAAATAATTTACTACTTCAAGAAAAATTAAAGACTATCATCAACCAAAGCTTAAAATTCTCAGTGTTTACAACTCTCATACTTCGAATATGCATATTTCCAAAATAGCATGAAAATTTTTTTCATTTGAGCTCATTTTCTTTTGTTCTATTAACTAATGCATGCAGTACAAGCTTGTTATACGTATACTTAATAAGTAAGGTCTTAAGGGAAATAATAAAAAAGAATTTTGCTATTAATTATATTAAACAATATTTATTTGTAATTTCGTGATAATTATATTTCTTATTACAAAGTAAAGGTATTTGATGTTGCATGCTAAGTTCGGTCAATGATAGAAATTGAGTGGAAATTAATCGTCGAGGAAGTACGATTATGTAAAGTAAAAAAATGTTGTGGGATTTTTAATATTATATATTATTTTATAATAAAATTTTTTTGAGTCATTTTAAGAAGCACATATAATTTTTTGAATTTAAAAATTAAAGTAGTGTCAAACAAATTTATCACTTAATTTAATACTCAGATTTCTTAAAATTAATGAAAAAAAGGTTTTCTGAGAACTTTTGAGAATGGTTTTCAAATTCCATTATTGAAAATATATAGGTATTGTATGAAATTCAAACTCTATATTTATTAAAATTCTAAATTTTTAATAAAATAACTTTTCAGAGGAATATGATTTTGAATGGTTGATTAATAAGTATAAAAATGTCTACGATTTTAAGGAGGGAATTGTTCCGTATGAGGTATACATCATAACTATATACCTCATAAGGAACAATTCCCTCTTGATAGCTGGGAAACTTTCTCTGAATAACTTATCATTTGGAGAAAGTTCCCCAGCTATCTATTAGGAACTAAAGGCTATGAGGCACTAATATATAATCAGTGCCTCATAGCCTTTAGTTTCCTATTAAAAACGAGAAAACTTGTTCGAAATGATAAACAATTTCGAACAAGTTTTCTCGTTTTAAGGAGGGAATTGTTCCTTATGAGGTATACATCATAACTATATACCTCATAAGGAACAATTCCCTCTTGATATCCTGGATATTTTTGAATATATTTTTTTAATTAAAGTTCTCAAAAGTATTATCAAAAGTGATTTTTTTAAAATATCTCCAATTAATTAACTAATTAAAAGTATTATATTTTTAAAATTAAATAGTTTTTCAATTTTTTTGAAGGAATTGAGATACTTCCCACGACAATAAAATTGAGAGGTTTACATTATGACTGATCTTAGCATACAACATTGATATAATGTTTGCCTTACAAAAATGTTTCCTTTGTCTTGCCACCATAGGTATTCTATTTTGTCACTTTTTGCGCCCGCCGTGCCATGTATATTACAGTAAAATCAATGATGGGAAAAAGTAAATTAAATAATTCACTTAAGGGTGGCTTCCGACCAAATTGTCACTTTTTAGCCCAAGTGAGAAAATTTCGTAATTTATAACCAAGTTTTTTAAAATCTATATTTAATAAAGATTCTATTTTTCTTATTAAATTTCAAAAATGAGGGGGTTCGGAATTGTCCACAAATTGCCGAGGGGGGCACAAACTTGCCCAGTGAGGTGAAGTGAAAAGTGACGTGTTTACATGTCAGAAATGTAAAGTGTCAGATTTGAAACAAAAATGGATTAATTTATTATTATATGATAGAGAGATTTGGTAAGTTACTATCAAATTTGTAAGTAAGGGGAAAAAAAGTAAGAAAGAAAAAAATTTAAAAAAATAAAAAGCCACTCGCTTCGCTCGCGGTTGACAAAAAGAACAAATTCGAAAAATAATTGTATGAAATTACGAAACTAAGCCACTCGCTTCGCTCGCGGCTTAAGAAAAGAACAGATTCGAAAAAAGATTGTATGAAATTACGAAACTAAGCCCCTCGCTTCGCTCGCGGCTGACGAAAAGAACAGATTTGAAAAAAGATTGTACGAAACTACGAAACTAAGCCGCGAGCGAAGCGAGCGGCTTAAGTAAACAACATATTTCAGATTATCGATACTAAAAATTTTTTTATTTTATTACATTTTTTTTTGCATTTTTTTAAGGGTGCACACGAGAGGATCATGTAAACTTCAGAATTTAGAACCTTATTTTTAGGCATTATCTTGGCTACCTATTTAGGCTCGAAAAGCAAAAAATATCAAAAAATACAACTTGACTCCATTATGACCCTTTCATGGAGGTAGTTTTTATCCGCTAGTATTTTCCCTTTGAATCTCTTTACAATTCGAAATCAAATTCAAAACTCAGTAGAAGAAAGGAAGAATCGACTTACTACGGTTGTAATACGAATAAATATATATATTTAATTATTTTTATTTACATAATAATTGTTTGAAGCTCATATTCCATCAAATTTTTAAATAAAAACATTAAAATGTTGAAAATGTTCATATATTTTAATAGGGTTTTGGCACTTTATTGAGGAATTACTACATACATAGTCGAACTGAACTTGATATTTTGAAATTTAAATTATTTATCAAAATTAAAATTTAACTTGAAATTTATAATTATTTAGTCATATTTTGCATAATTCTAAGTAGATTTTGTAAAAAATCAAGAAAGAAAAATTTTAACGTGCTTTATTTTTTCTTTTTATAATAATACATATTATTATATAATTAACATATTCATAATTTTCACCCTTTCAAAAATATAATCCTCCTCCTCTCAAATAAACGTACATATGGGTGGCCTCTTTTTTCAAAAAATTAAAATTTGAAATTTTGGGCTCAAATATTAGAGATTTTTTCAACCTTCAACGATATATGTTGTCTATATCAGACCTCCTTTCTTTTTGATACTTAACATTGTTCCTAAATCTTAGCCGTTAAGGCTGTTCTGAAAATATTTTTTTTTCGAAAAAATTCGAAAAAAATTCTTAAAATTCAAAAATCCCTTAATTCTTGAGGATTTTGGAAAAAAGTTTTTACATGAACATGTGTATATTAGATGAAGTATATTGATAAGGTAAAAATCAAATTTTATTGCATATTCATCGAGAAAATAAACTAACGAATCCCTCAAAATTGAGAGGGTAATCCTCCTCCTCTCAAATAAACGTACATATGGGTGCACCCTTAAGAAGCTAAATTCTGAAGTTTACATGATCCTCTCGTGTGCACCCTTAAAAAATGCAAAAAAATTGAATACTTTACTGGCTGGGCAAATTTGTCGCGGCCCCAATTGCCGAAAGGGTTTTTGCCAGTTTTGAATCCGCTTATTTTGATCGACCAAAATTATAATAAATATAATTTTCGATAAGTATTCTACCCAAATGATTCTTCAAAAAATTATTTTTCGGATTTTATTCCGCAAAAAAACGTGACAGAAAACGCCTATAAAATTTCGAATTTTCCCTAAAAAATTCAGTGCAGGTCGATTTAAGAGATTTTTCAAAAATAATCATATCAGTAGATAGGGTATAATATAGAGAAGCTTTATGAATAACTTAAAATCCGGGAAACTCAATATTCAACGAGAAAAACGCTTAACGAATCTCACTTTTGGTGTAAACATCACAAAAAATTGAGAGGGCTTTCTGGTCGGAAGCCTCCCTTAATTTGGTCAGAAATTTGAAAACATTCTGAATGATACAAAAAAAGTGAACGTGCTTTTTTGTAAATGAAAATCCAGATTTAGAATATATTTTCACAATTTATGCTTTTATCGCAAAATAATTATTGAATTGAATGCTCTTTACATTTTTGAATCTTGAGTTTAATTTTGATTAATAAAGAGAAATATAAGAAAGAAAATTTGCTATCATTATTTGTTAAAAACAAAGTCTCATCACACTTTTCAATGCTCGATTTTTAAAAACTGTTTAAAAATGGAGCTTATATTGAAATAGTGTAGAGACTAAAAATTACCACAGACTATTTCAGAGGATTGAGTTGCCACTCAATCCTCTGAAAAGTCTGAGGTAATTTGCAAAATTATTTCACTTTTTCAGAAAAAGTAAATTTAGCGGTTAAACAAGAAATAAAATTTTATACTTGCGCACAAAAAATAGTTTTACAAATACTCTGCTATTAACTACTGTGAAATTTATTGGAAGAAATTAAGAAAAACCGATTTATTCCTTTCAATTCGAACTGTCAAAAAAAGTTAATATTCAAAAGCTTTGAATTTTGAACAGTTAGGCAATAGATTCAAAACAAACAATCTGCTCATCGATGTAATATTTAATGTTTAAACTCGTTTGAGTATTACAATATACTTGATTGTTGAAAGGAGTTAAAAAAATTAGATTCATTCAATATTTATTCATCGAATGAATAAAAAGATGTTTTTTTGAATAAATCGCAGTAAAATTGTGATGTGAATATTGTGTTACTCAAAACGGGAATGAATATTCATAAAAAATTAATAAAATGGAAAGAATGTTAATGATCAAAATCACGGCACTAGAGAACCCACTAATGAAATTTTTCAATGCGGTCAATATTTTCATTAATAAATTGCATTAATCTGAAATCTATTATTCATCTTCAAACTAAAAATGAATGAAATTTTTCTATCTACCCAAAAACAAGATTTATTATCTCAAAGCATGTAATTAAAAAATGTTATATATATGATTTCGCTTGGACTCTTCTACTCTTCGATTGGTAAATTTTCCTCTTTTATTCGATAAAAATTATTGTTTGAAACTTGAATTTAATTTGTGAAACGCAATCAAAATTAGGATATCAATAATAAATTAATACTTATTTCTATTATTAATTGAGGTTCAAAAAGATATAGATCAACACTTGCATTCTTCATTCTTTATATCCTCCTCTGAGGATCACAAAAATTCTGTAAGAATGATTTTTTTTTCTTCCATTAACTCCTACATTTTCTGTCAAATTTGATATTTCTTCCAAGTAATCACATTTCCTCTAGATTAAATACAGTGTTTTGATGAAGGGGAAATCACAAAATATAAATCTCAAGTCAATATTAAATTTGATTATTTCTTTTTCATGATTAAACCTTTAAGATTTATTTGTCTTTGGTACTCGATTTCAATAAAGCCTATCTATAATATCAATGAAAGAGTTAATATATATCTTTATTTATATACATCAAATAACAACTTTTCCATAATCAACTTTAGGCCACTCTTTGTGTTCGAGATAATATATAACAGCTTTGAAAGCGTCTTCAGTCTTCTTCAAGCTCATTGGCTCAGTAGTTGGGTAGACCGCGTGGTTGATCTGTGGCTCAATCACGAGACAAGTGTGGATATTGAGAGATCCGAGGGCAAAGAGCGTTGAGTTATCATAAACTTTTCCGAAGAGAATTATGACCATACATGACTGAGGCAGGAAGAAACATTTGAAAACGTTACTTCCTGTAACGAGATACAAAACTTGGGCTCGTCCCCAGGTCTTGCAGATGGTGGATATGGAGTTAGCATTGTCAATGAATGCTTCCCAGTTGTACTGAGGGAAGAGAGTCTTTACTGTTTTGACAACTTCTTTGAAATTAGGAACTCTCCTGATTTTTCCTTTTCTGTTGGACAAAATATATCTGTCTGGTTTGACATCCATTAGATTGTATTTTTCTTTGAACAAAATACTTAAGTTTTTAAATGCTGGCCCATAATGAGAGACATGTGTTCTCGGATTGTCTGCCACGTAAACATGGTTGGCATAAACCCATTGATATCTGTTTAATTTGAGAAATCGCTTCTCAAGTCCAAAAGCGGGTAAGAATTTTCTTGCAAGGAAATAAGAAGTGAAACAAAGTATATACGATTTATCACGAACTTCTTTGGGTATCAGAATTAATGGTGCAAGAACGTCATTAACGAAATGACCAAAACTATATACGTATAAATGACCAAGAGCAATAACACTGTCATATGATCCAACAACCTTTCCTGGGTAGAAATCAAAAAGAGATTTAATGTACCAGGCTGCTGGTGGTCTGTACATAAGAGAATCCAAGGTTGCAACAAATGTTGATGGAGAAACATAACAATCTCGTAAATGAACAATTGTTGCAACTATTGAATTTGCATGATGAACTTGGTTTGATATGTTTAATTTGTAATTTACTTGATCAACACCATCATTAAGTACGAAGAGGATATCTTTGCGTGGAATTTTGAAGCTTTCGTTATAATGTATATATTCAACTACGTGATCTTCTATAAATCCCGAATGATTAAACATTGTTGGACTCAAGAAAACTCTTTTGTTTATAGCGCCTGCATAGGAGGTAGGAGTAGCAAGAACAAAGAAGAGAAAAGTATATAGAACTGGTATTATAAGAATTTTTCGTGATACTTTTGCAAATCTTCTCCCCCTCATTTTGTTCATACAAAATTTTCAAAATTTATAAAAAAAATTGCGAAATTTTGGAATCAATAGATCATTTAATATGATGTATTTTCAATGAGAATATGATCAATGTAACAATTGATCTTATCTCGAACTGAAGTTTCGAGTTATTGCAGAAATATATTAAAGTGGTTGCATTCAATTTGCATAACTATATCAAACATTTTATCAAACAAACAAAAGTAATATAAAACATAGATATAATGTATTATGATCCAGTGAAAGCAGTCATTGCAGCTGTTGCCAGATAAGTAGTATTCTCTGTAACCAAAGGAGTTCCTATCATTAGTGGATCTGTCATCAAATTTTCACTCATTGAAGAAACCTTGATTTCAGTCTCAGGAACAGGAGCATTGTTGCATGCAGCGTTGAGTTTTTCCTCAAACAGATTCATCACTTTGTCATTGAACAAGCCTCCGCCTTTCTTAGTTCTCAGCCATCTGCTTTCCAGTATCTCCTTCAACTTCTCGACAGGCATTGGGTGGTAAGCAAGAGCAGTGCCAGCAGACATGTCGAACAGATCTGCGTTTGTTGAAATCTTTTTGATGACAGAATTTCTCACGGCGATATCGTCGAAAAAGTTGTACCAGAAAGCAAATGCTGGATGTACATCGTAGAACTTGAGTCTGTCGTAGAGGCCATCAAGGTTGAGCCTTTCTAGTTCTGGAATGTTCTGAACAGTCGGGTTCTGTTCGTATTTCGTCAAAAATGATTCCATTTCTGCTCTTGGAATTTTGTCGTTGTTGTAGACCATCATGTAAAAGACGTTGCTCAGCACTTCTAGCTGCTCTTGGCGAAATTCCATCAAATCATCGTGCATCCACGTTAATCTTTGCTGGATTTCAGGCCATTTAGCGTCAATTATCTCTTTATTTGAGTTAAACAATTGAAGTAACTCTGGAGTTTGCGAGAAATCGCTTGTTATTCCGAGATCTGCTTCTTTGGCAGTGTATTTGATTCCTGTTACTTCTGTTCCATCATCATCGATGTATTTCCCGTCATCGAGTTCCAACCTGACCTTGAATCCATGAGAAAACGGATCATTACACTTTTGTTTTATCCTCAAAATTCCAGACTGGAAATCTACCAACCTTTCTTTCTTCCCGCATGCTGTTTTGATGGGGACTATTTCGCTGAATTTGTAATTCACTCTCTCATCCCTCAAACATCTCAGCATCTGCCTGAATTTCCTTGACAACAAAATATCGCTTTGCTTATTTTGATTGACAAATTCGCAAACTATTTCATCATCAATAATAACAGACTTCTCGGATACATCGTAAATGATTGTCAGCTGAAACGGGAATAGATTTATGAACATCCTTCCCCAGCAGGTTGGATCTTTGACTGAATCAGATCGGAAGTAGCAGTCAGGTCCTTCCAAGAAGAAAGAAAGTTTTCTTGCCTGTTTAATTGCGTCATTTGGTGCAAATAGATCGTTTCTGAAGTTCGTAATTCCTTCTTTTGTGCAAATGTCAACTAATTCTTGCATTCTTTTCTCGACATCAACATACAATTCGCGAGATTTAAATAAACTCCTCCAAAATCTCTGCCAGATTCTTGTTTTTCTCGCCAAAGTGTCATTGTAGACCAGGCCTGTGCTGTAGTGGAGTCTTCCGAAGTATTTCCTGATCAGATTCTTGACAAAGTTCATGCTGAACAAAATAATCAGAAAGATAACAACTAAACAAGCAACATTGAGAGTAATCAGTATTCTTGAACTGTATGGTTCGTGTATTACCTTGCAGAGAACGCAGATCTGCACACAAAGAGTCAAAACAGCAGTAAGTCTTGCAGTGATTTCAATTCAATCATCACTTGGAAGAAGAAACGGTGAAGAAATAATGGAGATAAGGCCGTAGATAGTAACAATAACTAATGATGCGGATGCTGTACCTACTGTGGATGTAAAAAATGGAATTGTAGGGATAATAATCACCATCTTGAAAATCATAGTGATAACTTTGTACAAACTCCAGCCATATTCATATCCAGCGTAAAGGAATTTATATGGGCATTGATCTCTTTCAAGTAAATCTTGGTAGTTTCTCGTAATTTCTTCATCATCAAAGCCCTTCACGAGTTTTTGGCCAGAAGAATCGTACTGATGAGGCTTTGGCTGATATGTTCGTATGACAAAGAAAATTTGAAATGGTAAGTACAATCCTATGAAAAGAAAAACAAAAATTGCGATACATAGATGTAACCAATGCATTCCATGATAGCATTCGAGTTCATATGGAACCATAAGTCCTTCATAGCAGAATATTACATTGAAACATGCAGTGATACATGGGAGAAATAAAACAACAAGAATTTCTACCATTAAATAGACAACCCAGTAAAACAATTTTCCTCTCTTCTCCCACCCGGATGAGTTTGGTCCTTTTAATTCGAGAACTGGGTCCCAAATTTTAATGATTAGCCAAATAACAAAAAGAGTAACTTCAATACATGACCAAATATAGAAAATTTCGAGATCTGTAATAGATGAAATGAAAGTCCATATTAATGAGACAAAATCCATGAATTTTTGAAATGCTCTTTCGAAACCTTCAGGAAACTTCAATGATGTAAACCATAATCCGATTTGTTGAAAGAAGTTCATTATGGAATCGAATTTGATTAAGCTGAAAAACTTCTCTCATGACGATTGAATTTTTTCATAACAAGTAAGGAAAACTGATCCGCGATCTTTTAAAAATCCCATAGTATCACCGAAACCTTTGATTTGGTTTTGAACATCCGCATTTCCAAAGAATTCGGTTGCATCGCGGAATTTTCCTAAACTCATATAAAATTTTGTTCTTTTCAATTTAGAACCTTAAATAATTCGTTATTATAAAATATTGTTATCATTTTGGGTTCTTTGATATGGCTTCATAATTTTATATCAAAATAATAAACTGACAAAAAAATCGATCGTATTTTGAATATTATGATAATTGTTGTAAATATCCTTCACCCAAGATATTTCTCAGACCGATATTTGAAAATGCTGTCAATTTTGAAAATTTGGGTTAATTAAAGTAAGACTTAAGATATTTTTATTAAATTTGAATTAACAGACATAGTACTTGCTATAAATTTGCAGGCATTTGATTATTCTTGAAAATATTAGTAATTCAGTATTTATTAGCTATTGATAAAGAAAACAATGTGTTTTGTAATATAACTATTACATTTATTCTGGGGATCCCATATTGATGGTTTTTTAAAAAACGAAATTATTGAGTCAAGAGTTAAAGTATGTTAATCATATCAAAATGCAACACCATCTAATTAACATATTTAGCATATTGCTTTTAGATTTATGAACATTTTCAAATCAGAATATGTTGGTATGGAAATATTAGTAGATTTCAATTGATGCTTTTTGCTTGTTAGCACAACTTTTCTCTTATATTTTCTCTATTTGCAAACGCTGAATAAGAAGATTATTCTGCTGCTTAACAGAGTTGATTTTTTGTTGAATGATTTCAAAGTTGATATTATCTTCTTTGTAAGATAATTCTTTAATCAGTTGCTTTGCCTCATTTGAGAATTCAATGCAAGTACGACATATTCCTGAAAATTCATCGTGCATATCAACTTTGATCTCTGATAATAGCGATGCCTTACTTATAGTTTCTGTAATTATTGATATATGTTTTAATTTCCTTTTCTTCGTTTTGTTGTATTGTTCAATAGACGTCACAAGTTCTTTAGAGCTATCTTGAGAAAACGAAGAAAATTCGTGTTTCTTTGAAATATAAATATTTTCCATTTCTTTGTGTTTCAATCTCGTTTGTTCTCTTTTTTGAATGATTTCTTGAACTGCCTTTGATAAGTCAGAATGAATAGTTTTGCTTGATGCTTTTATTTTGTTCAGATTGGCAAATGCATTTTCAATGTCATTTGCTAGCACATCTGGATTTTGGTAATCGATTCCGAATATTTTTGCGTACTTTTTGCAAATTTTATTAAATGATTCATCAGAATTCTCTTCAATCCATTTAAGAATGTCAGATGTAGGGTATATGTTTAGCTTAGGAGATTGTTGTTTCATTTTTAAAACTGAGTCATATTTCTCCTTGAATTTTTCGTAACTATCTTTTGATTCTACAATTTTCTGTTGTAATTGGTCGATGTTTGATTGTATACTTTGAATTTCATCCAATATATTTGATTTTTCAGTTTCAATTGTATTAGCTTTAAGTTTTGAAGATAAAAGATCAGTTTGATTTTGTTTTTGCTTGATATTAATCTGAATAGTTAAATCATCAACAATTGATTTAGATTTTTGTACTCTTCCTTGTAACTCAACTATTTTGTCTACTAATTGATCATTTTCAAAAGAATTTCCGAATAATTCACGCAATTTCCTAAGTAATCTAACAGCAGCAGCCTCTGAAACTTCCTTTGCTCTTCTTGCAACTTCTAAATCGTTCTCAAGTGATTGGATTTTCTGATTTAATTTCTGTTTTTCTTTTCGTAATGCTTGTAAATTTTCTCTCCCATCTAGAACACTCTTCATATCATCATTTGATGAAGATGATTCTAAATCTTTCAGAGTAAGCATGCAAGAATGAGAAAAATTTTAAACGTACACTAAAAATTTATATGGCAATGTAAAATTAAATAACACTAGTGTTGCATGCTAAGTTCGGTCAACGATAGGAATTGAGGGAAAAATTAATCGTCGAGGAAGTACGATTATGTAAAGTAAAAAAATGTTGTGGGATTTTTAATATTGTATATAATTTTATAATAAAATTTTTGTGAGACATTTTAAGAAGCACATATAATTTTTTGAATTTAAAAATTAAAGTAGTGTTGAATGAATTTATTGATTAATTTAATATGGATATTTCTCAAAATTAATCAAAAATAGGTTTTCAGAGAACTTTTGAGATATCTTTTCAAAATGTCTTTTTGAAAATATATAATTATATCAAATAAAAAAATATTTATCAAAATTCTAAATTCTTAATAAAAAATAACTTTTCAGAGGATTGTGATTTTGAAAGCATGAGTAATAAGTAAAAAATATCTACGATTTTAATGAGGGAATTGTTCCTTATGAGGTATACATTATAACTATATACCTCATAAGGAACAATTCCCTCTTGATAGCTGGGAAACTTTCTCTGAATAACTTATCATTTGGAGAAAGTTTCCCAGCTATCTATTAGAAACTAAAGGCTGTGAGGCACTAATATATAATCAGTGCCTCATAGCCTTTAGTTTGTTATTAAAAACGAGAAAACTTGTTCGAAATGATAAAACAATTTCGAACAAGTTTTCTCGTTTTAAGGAGGGAATTGTTCCTTATGAGGTATACATTATAACTATATACCTCATAAGGAACAATTCTTTCTTTAAATGGGAGAAACTTTGTCCGAATGTTAAACTATTCGGACAAAGTTTCTCCCATTTGTAGTGGAGATGGAAGGCTTTGAGGTATATTATATTAATATGTACCCAAAGCCTTCCATCTTCCACTTGAAAGTTCCAAAACTTTGGGTTAATGTCTTCCAATTAACCCAAAGTTTTGGAACTTTCTAGAAGGAATTGCAGGTAAGAGGTATATATTCATACTATGTACCTCTTACCCTGCAATTCCTTCTTAAAATGGAGAAACTTTGTCCGAATGTTAAACTTTCGGACAAAGTTTCTCCCATTTGTAGTGGAGATGGAAGGCTTTGAGGTATATTATATTAATATGTACCCCAAAGCCTTCCATCTTTATTGTACAATTTAAAAATTCAGGAAAATGTAATAAGATTTTTATAAAAATTAAGCGTTTATTCGTAATTGTGTATTCAATGGTTCGGTATTTCTTTGATTTCGAAGTGTCCATCAATCATAACTCTCCAAAATGGCGTTTCACCCCGTTTCCAATGTGGTGTCTCATTGTAACACTCTTCTGGAGTCATGGGGCGAAAACCCTTTTTGGGAAGGGTTTTATGTGGTACTGAGTTGTAATTTTTCCTGAATTTATCAAGAAATTCTTGAATTTGTTTTGCATTTGAAGACCGGCCGACATTTTTTTCAAGAGACGGCTAGAGCCTTTCAATCTTGCCGTTCTGGCGCGGCATATGGGGGAGAGTGTGGCGGATTTGAGTGTTGTAGTTAGTATCTCTATCTTGGGTACGGCGGCACTGCGTTCCACCTTACCCAAGATAACGATTTGACACTTTACGAAACCAGTAACGTATATTTTACAACACAACCATAACACCAACTTAACCTTAAATATTTACAAAACCGTCTGACACATAAACGACTTCACTAACGACATCACTAACGACTTCACTAACGAATTCACTACCGTCCTCACTAAATAAAAAATAACCCTATTTTTATTTTTTTTAATTTTTTATTTCATTACAAAGACATGTCTGACTACATTTACTATGACTCTTTCCCGGAACGTTTCCGTGAACTATTCAAAGCTCAAGTAAAACTGAGAAACATGCATTTTAACAAAGACAGACCATTGACGATGAAAGAAACCCTGAATATATTACAATCCCTTATGACGCAAAGTTCATTGCATACATTCCTTATGGTCGCAGAGGACGAAAACTATTTCAACAAAGAACAAAAATTATTTCTGGAGCGATGAAGAAAATTGCCTTATCTACATAAATGCATACTTAAATAAAGCTACATATTGTACAAAAGAAGGTTGGACTGGATTTGAGCTCTACATATACGACGACGATGGAAACAGACGTTGTGTATACCCATACGATAATATGTACCATTGTTTTCATCAAGCATTAAACGAATACATAGTCAGTAAGGGTCTCATTCCTGCTGAGTAGAAATGTTATATTTTTGTTCTGTCATTTATAAAAAATAAACTTAAAAATTAATGATATCACCACTCCCACACGTATGAAAACATAGCACAAAAATAAATTTAGGTGAAGTGGTGAGATCTCACCTCTTTTTTCACCCTGTTGAATTCATTGCTTTATAACTCTCTTCCTTGGTTTCTTTTTAGTTGCTTTCTTCACGTCTGTCTCCAGCTTGACTGTCTTTCTTCTTCGGCCGTAATGATACCAGTTACTTCCACCAGTCAATGGGTCAAATGGTCGTTCATAAGGGTTTCCATACATTCCATAGGGACCATACGGAAGAACTACTGGTGGAGAAGAAACATTTTCTTTAGTTCCATCGACTCTATTTAAATGCATTGTTTCACCTTTCATCTGGTCATTAAAGTCTTTTGCGTGTTTTGCAAACTCATCGTCCTTTCCTAAAGCATTTTCTGACTCAGTCGCAACCAAATTGGATGCTTTATTTATGAGCCCTATTTTATTTAATCTTAACTTCTTTGCAACCCAGCCTCCAATCTTCCCTTTATTTGCATCTAATGTCTTCGAAACCCTTCCTCCACTCATTTTATTTACTGCGTCATAAGCTCCAAGTGCTTTTGCTCCAAATGCTAATGCTTTTGTTCCCATTGCGCCTAAAGCTGCCCAAGCTACCATTTACACCATATTAAAATCATCTCTCTTCAATATTATCTCATAAAAGTTCTCGTTACTGGAGAAAGTCAATGAAACATAAGCGTTCTCACGGGCTTCGCCCTCACCGCTTTGCGGTCTATCTAACTTCTTTCTTATCTCATCTATACGCTTCAAAATGTCTGAACAATTGCTAACATCTTCTACAACAGTTATTTCATCATGAATGACCTTCAAGAACAAGCTCATTTAATATGCTATTAAAATCATCTCAATAATGAGTCCATCCTTTCCATCTTTAGGTAGCACAACATCTTTCATTGAAGAAGGTTCGACAAGTCTTATGTTAAACTTACTGACAAAGTTTGTTATACTATAATGCTTCGGCGGCGAATACATGTAGTTTGAAAGACATAATATAGATTCTTCAGCAAATTCACTTATACTGGATTTTATAACAATGTTCTCACGAGACCAAATACCACCAATTGACAATCTTGTAAGCAATCCTGCTGAACCTTCTACTGTAAACGTCGATGGTAACATTCCACGAAGGTCATCTATTGACATCGTTGAGTCACTGTATTTAAATATTTTCTTAAAGCAATCGTCATTATCTAACCATGCAATAGCTTTGAAGTTTTCATTCGAATATACATCTGCTTCATTAAATGTAAACCTGACTTCTTTGCAGAGACGACTTTAAAATCTATTGAGTTTGTTTCAAAATTATATGCTATGGTAACTTCTGAAGGTAATGGATGTCCTTCCGCAGTCAGTTGTTCTCTCACTACCGTTTGAAGCTTTGTATTAAAAACTTTCATGTCATCTCCTGTATCTAAGTTCACATACACAGCAACAGGGAAACTATCTTGCTTCTTTGTTTCATCATTATACCTCAAAACATTAAAGTTCTTCAATAATATTGTTCTTCCTGCTGGAATACTTCGAACCTGTCTGATTTCAATAGCTTTCTCACCTCCTACATACTCTACCCAGTGTCTTGGATATTCATAAGTATACTGACTTTCTTGAATTTTGGTAGGTTTCATCATAACGTGTTCATAGTATATCTTTATACTCTTGTCAGTTAGACTCGGTGCTATGTTCTGAATATTTCTGACTTGCATTTTTAATGGAGATAAAATGAAGCATTTAATACATGACGTAGATGAAGACATGAATGAAACTACAGACAAACTTAACTCTTCTCTTATTCTTCCTTTCAGTAAGGACTATGAGTTCTGTTCAAATGGCGTTTATTTCTATTGTGGAAAGATGGGTTCAGGTAAGACATTTAACCTCATTCGTCATATACTCATAACAGAGCGTTTAGGAAATGACTCATATTATGACCAAATCATTATATCAGCAACTTCAGACTCTATGGACTCAACAGCGAAAACATTTATGTCAAAAGTTCAAGCCTCTGTCGTTAAAGTTCCAGACAGTGAACTCATTGAATTTCTTCAACTTTACATTCGACGTAAGAGGAAATATTATGCCATCGTAGAGTTCATACAGTCAGGAATGCAAAAGACTTCTGAGGAGATGGAAAGAATTATTGACAAACACCACTTACGTCAGTACTCAGGAGTTTACGATATGAAACGACTTACAAACTACATTCTATCAAAACTTTCAAAATACCCCTTCAAAAAATATCCTTCAAATACTTTGTTAGTTTGCGACGACTTCGCCGGAAAAGGTTTAGTTTCAAAGCCTGACTCACCATTAGCTAACATCATTACTAAAGTCAGACATTACCACTTAACTGTAGCAATACTTATGCAAACATGGAGGTTTTTAGCTTTAAACATAAAACGTCTCATAACTGACTTCGTTATCTTTCAAGGTTTCTCACGTTATGACATTGAACTCATTTGGAAACAGTCAGGTATAACATTACCTTTTGAAGAAATTTGGGAAGCATATAAGTCTCTCATCTCTCCTCGTTCATACCTTGAGATTCATATCATGACTAATACCATTAAAGTCAAAAATATTCCATGGAACGACCAACATTGTTTTAAAGTTTAACCTTCAATTGACTGATGGTAAACAAATTCCATGCATCTCTGTCGCCATTTCTGTTAATATT